ATACGTTTTTGTTTGGTAGATTTTGGTCTTTCTTCATATATTGATAAAATGATTTATTTGGTTCTTTATACTTTTGAGCTTTATTCTGGTTATCTTGTTGTTTTTGTCTACATTCAGAAATACTATGTCCATATCGTCGGCAATAGTTACACCATTTTTTGAAAGATGGTTTGCCTTTAAAATTTGGGTGCTTATCATAAATATTTAGTATTTCAGTGATTTTTTCAACTAGGTCTGTATCTGATTCCTGTATGTTATTGATATGTGTAGTGTTTGTTTCGATTCGATTAACATACTGTAATTTTAGATTTTCCGTTTCTTCAAGTTTCATTGTGTTTTCCGCTTGTTCTAGTTTGTCTACTAGTTTTCGAAAATCTAAATCGGGTTCTCGAATTGAGGAAGGATGAGAAGCTCTCTTTTTTATTGCTATTTTCCTTAATTGAGGTGTTAAAGTCATCATTAAAATTTCTGTCATTTTTGTGTTTTTATAGTCATGTGTATTTAATGAATATGCTTTTCGAACTAGTGTTTCGATACGTACTGCTAGTTGTTTGATAGTTACGTTTGGTAATCTGCGAATATCATTGCATAAAACTCTTTGGTGTTGTTTATTTCTTTCGGAGTCAAACATTTTTGAGAATTCTTGTGTAAATCTTTTCCAATCTGATTTTATTTCTATAGGTAATACTGAAAACAATTTTTTTTGGGCTGCGCCTTCTAAGGTTGTTTGTATCAACGCTGTGCGTCGATGTATCCAATTTCGATGTAGTGGTGTATTAATTGGTTCAGGTCCTATATTTAAAATTAAATTTGCTGTTACTGCATTCAAATAATCTTCTACAGAGTATTCAGGGTATGTTCGTGTGAATACCATTAGTGGTTTATTTGATGTTATTGATGATCCACCCATTAGGTATGGATTCATTGTCATCTATAGTGATTCTGCGGCATTGGGCATTTGTGAAAAATTTGAAATTTGATTTTTTGTTATTTCGTGTTGTTGAAGATAATATGGGAGTGGTATTTCGTTTTGCATTTGAGTTGGTTGATACGAGTGTGTAATCATTGGGTTTTGTGGTTGAATTGGTTGAAAAGATTGTGTGTTAGTTGGATTTTGCATTTGTATTGGTTGTTGATTTCGTGTATCTGTTGGATTTGGGGAAAAAAATTCGATGGTATGTATAAGGTTTTTGTACTCCTTGTCCACGATATTCTTGGGTATACGGTGCAAAAATATCTGGTTGTAAATAATCATCATCAGATGATAAGTAATCTGTATGATGAGGTGCTTGTTTTTTATATTTATTTTGTTGAAAAAATGGGTAATTTTCACTGCGATCCTGTGGGGGATGTGAATTAGTTTAAAAATTTACTGAGTTGGTTGTTGTCGTTGGGTTATTCCAATAAGGAGAACTGACATGATTTTTATTAGTTTTTCGTGGGGGGTATTTTGCTTTTGACGAATGTGCGTAATTATAATTGTGTTCTGCAAAAGTGTTTCTTGTGAACGTTCTTCGTGTTTTTGACGGTACTGTCATACGTCTAAATGTTTGATAATCCATATGTGAATATTTTGGAGCAACCGAAGGTTTAACGGTTGATTGTAAGGTGACTTGTGCCAGTGAAGTATTTGTATTTCTTGGTGTTGTTAAATTTGGACGTATCGGTGAAATACTTTGTTGTGTAGTCGTTGTTTGGACGATTTCCTCATTTATGAAGTGTGATTGTGTTTGGATATCTTGTTGTGTAAGATTCCTAGTTCCATTAAGGTTTTCATTGTGTATGACGGTCGAATTTAAACTATTTTTTTGCGTATCAGGTAAAATGTATTGTAGTTTAATGTTGTTGCATCAATGGTCAGTGGTATTACTCTCACATAATCTCTTTGATAAGATATTGTACTTATTGCTTGACTTGATATTGATTGTGGGATATTTATAAATGCATGATGAGCCCATTCAGGGTCCCATACCTAGTCTGACTGTTCTGTGATGGCTGTATCATCATTTGAATTTTGAGGTCTGAAATTTTTTCTTGCTTGTGAAATTAAGTCTATATTATGTGTAAAATAATCTATTATAAACTATGCCAAAATTTTTTGTAAGTCGTGTTTTGTGTGTTTTGAAACCTCGTTATTAGTGAAATTTTCTTTGATTATATGTAGGAAAGTTGAAAATAATGTGATTTCATGTCGTACCTTTGTATGTTTGGATGTTTCAGTTGGTGAGATATTTGGAATTTCTGTTTTTTCTAATATTGAGATATAACTATATATTATTGCGAAAACTTCGTTAGTAAATATGGAGTTTGCTCTTTGTGAGTTATGATATTATACGCTTTTAATATATTCTAAGAATACTTTTGAAAATTCTAAATCAAGATCGTCTGTTTGAATTACATATTTACGGTGATTCGGATTTGGCGTGCTAAATTCTATGGTGTAGATTCCATATTGTTGTGTTAAATTACATATATCTTTCAGATAATGTTCAATAATTTGTCTTTTGATTTTTACATCTGGGAATTCTGCTTTGCATGGGCTGATTCCGGGTTCAAACAAATTTAGAAGTAAACTCTTACAAAGATCGTGTTGCCCTCTATTATCGGGTGCATCTACGAGGAAGGGGTAAATGTCATCGTCATCTGAACTATCGTCACTTTGAGTATGGCTTTGGCTCATTTTTTCGTTTGATGACTGTTAATATATAATTATTGATGTGTCTAATTGGTTGATTCCAATTATATAAATGTACTGGTTTGTGTTTATATTGCTTTTTTATTCTTCTTTTACCTCTTTTTGATGAATTTGAAGTTGTTTCTGAGTCAGAAAAATATAATTGATCGTGAATTGGACAATTTTTATCAATCGATTATTTTAATTTATAAAGTTCATCTAAATTGCTGGCTTCTGATTCTGAAAATGCGTTTCTATTTTTTGAAAATCTTTTTCGTGTGATTTGTCTTTGTTTATTTATTATTTTTCGTTTTATTGTTAGTCGTTTTGTTCTAATATCTCCAACTGTTTGTGTATGAGGTGTGATAACAAGATCGTGTTTTTTGTTATCTATTTCACAGTTGTGTAAAACGATTGTTTGTTTATTTCCTAGATTTTTGAATGACATAAGGTTTAGGATGAAGGATGCAGAAAGTTGTTAAATGATGTCTATTTTCTTAAACTGTTAGTCCTTACGATTTTTTGGTGAGCTTAACCTGGGTCAATTTGTTCAGGGTTGGAGAAAAAAATATAGCGATTCCGAAGAATGATTTATTACTTTCTCGTGGCTAGTATAAGCTAAGGTGTTAACTTACTTAATCTTACTTAGGGGTAGTGATTGTGTTCAAGGGTTGGAGAATAGTAAATCGATCCACAAGGTTCAGGTATAATTAGAACGCGAGTAGTTCGTTAGATACTATTTTAAACTTATTATGTCTAGATTTATCCTGGGTCTGGTAAGAGGAGGGTTCAAGTGAAGGATGAATAACCGAAGTTCTTCACTGTTTATCCTAATTTGAATGGTTAGTTTTGTTGAAAAAATTCTATTAGTCTTAGGTTTTTTGGAAGGGTTGGGTAGTGAATCGACGTTTGAGGTCGATAGACACTTGCTAAGTGGGTGGGGAGAACAAAATTGTTCTTTTTGATCCATGGATAGGCCTTGATGATCAGGTTTTAAATTTAATGAAATAGAAAATTAATTAAGATCCAAGGATAAGCCTTGATGATCTGATTTTGAAATTAAATGAATTTAAATGTAAAAGTGGTTTAAATTTATTTAAAAGTAGGATTTAGTTTTTTAATGATACTAGTAAGCTTATGATTGCTGTTATGTTTAGGTGATGAAGCTGAGACAACAGATGATTTAATTATTACTAACAATTTATTGTCATGCTACTAATTTTTATTTTGATTTTCAATAAATATTTTTCAAACATGTTTTACATAAGACTGCAGAATTTAAGAAAACGATCTGAGATCTTTTTATCGATCGTTATTGTATATTAATAACTTTGTTTAGCGCCTGAAATGATTATGAAGATTGACTTCAAAATTTTATGTTTGCAAATGAAAATCTAAATTCATTGCTAGTAAGATTCTAAATATAAAAGTTTGTGTTGGCTTTTGCCGTACAATCATGTAACTGGTAAATTTCTACTCTGTCGTATGTCGTCTCTGGTTCGAGGTCTTCTTACGATTCCGGGTAGTTCTGTTATCGTTCGGAATATCGGCTCTGATCTATTGAGTCGTAGAGACATTTCGATTAAATTATCATCGTATAACATTTTGAAAAGTTTTGTCTAAATTCTAATCTATTTTTGGTTAAATCTAAGCTATTAGGGTCTTATTCGAGACTTATGGTCGCACCAGATGAGTTAGGACCGATGTGGTTAACTCATAGAGTAATTTCGGATAGGGTACACCGTCTGCTCGTCACGCTATCTTATTTTAGGCCGGATAGATTCGTGCAACTTCTTAGTCTAATACCGATCCTAATCTTACTCTTATACTTACTAGTCTCAGGGTGTTTAACTAGTCTCTGCTAGGCTCAATAGATCTAGGGTATACTGGTTTGTTGCGGCTGCTGAAGTTCTTTTGGAGAGGCAACTAATTTCTAAGTTAAATTCAAATCTCTCTGGTGCTGAAATTACAAGTAATTTCAGCACTTACAAATAAGTGGGTTGTTAGTTAGATGGATCATGATTGGTTAATATTAAATACTTTACAGTGGTAAAATATCTAATTTATCCAATCATAAAATATAGTTTAGATCAGTTTCCAGTAGTTGAGCGTAGAGTAAAAGTTAAAGTCAAAAGTTCGAAAACAATAAATAAAAATTAGACATTGTTATTCAGATTTAATGGAGCGACGAGCCACTCGATTTTTTTTAAACAAACTTGTGGTTGTTTCTGGAGAAAAATTTCCAACTGGCGTGATTTTTCCTCATTTTCTTCGATTGTCAAAATACAACTAAGTTTTTAGATATTTATTTAGTTCGGATGCTCACCTGTGAGGATGGTTGCCCATTTGACACACCTGCGCAGATTTACATAGTCCTTCTGGTGTACTAAGAGGGTAGTCATCAGTCGGATGAATCTGTGGTCTCTCTTGGTGGTGTGGCTGTTCCTCTCTCTGTGACTTTGACCCAAAGTGGCATCAAATTCACATATCGAAAAAGCACCTAGAAAGATTGATTCAATTAGATGAAACTTTATTCAAAATCAGCGTAAGCGCTACAATGCAAAATATCATAGCTAGAAAAAGAAAAGTAAAATAAAAAGTGCTGTAAATAGTTTCTCTGTGATATTATCCTACAGCAGTAGCGGATTTAAGCGGAAGATGTGGTGAGCAGATCCCCCTTTTTATCAGGAAATCTACCCCAGTTTGAGCTGAACTCCCTAAAATTTTCTAGAGGCGACTTTGGCGCCAATATAGTCTAATTTGAACGTCTTCTTTCCCTGTTTGTTTTTCAAAATCCAACTTGGTCAACCTTTTTGAAAATCCTAGATCTGCCAATGTCCTCGAGTTTGTAAAAATTACTCATTCGAGACATCATTTGGAAAATCATTGACATAAAGCCATCAATGGCTCAATTCTTTAGTTTCAAGGCAAAATCTGATCAATTTTTCGAGTCAAATGTTTCGAAGGAAAATTTAACATTTGGGCGGAGGAACTTACAGGAAGAAGCTAGAATCTTTCTTGCTTTTGATCCTACTTCACAAGATGCATCTTCCGTAAAACGATTTTCATCAAAAAATGCACAAAAAGTTGCTCGCACTAATAAAAACTTACCATCAAAACCGTTCAAAAACAATTCAACATTTTTTTTCAAATGATTTTTGTTTATTAAGTTTGATCAAACTAAAAAAATGTCAAGGCAAGTTTCGTACTTTATTCATTAAATCAGTCTTTTCTTTGAGTATTCTAGATCCGCCGTGCTGGTTAGGCCTATCTAGTGAAAGATCTCATGCAGGCGCGGATCTAGGAAGTTGTCGAGGTTGGTGGGGAATGGGTGGCGGGGGACGTTGGGGGGGTGGGTCGTATTTTCGGAAAAATTTTGTCGACCTTTTTTTAGGTCGACCAAATTTATTTTCTGAGCTCTCCCAAAGCAAAGACCCTAATTTGACCAAACTTTCTGCGCCGCAGCCAATTTTTTGAAAATAGGCCAAAAAATGCATGTTTAGGCAAACTTAGGAAAATTTCGACTAAAAAATGGCGCTTTTTCGGCGCGAGCTCCCCCCAAAAAATTAGTATAGATTGGTGCCGAAGGCGCCTTTACAAAAATTTTAAGGTCAGTCAGCCAAAAATGGATATCCCAAAATAGTACAAAGGGGGGACCCTTTGGGTCGGCAGGGGGTCGAATCGCTGAGGGGGTGGAGGAAGCGTCCCACCTCCCTCCCCCTAAATCCGCTACTGCTCTCATGTGTCATTTTAACAAGTCACATGACTTTTCACTTTAAAAATCAGGAGTCATGCTTATTACACTGGTCACTCTTTGCGGTGGCTACTTTAAGACACTTTACTGAAGGTCATTCGACCTAGCTGTAACCATAGAGAAGAATATAAATGTAGTGAATTGATGAAAGTTTTGAAAAAAGAGAAAAATGGGGTAGTAGCAGTGGGTTTTGAAGAAGGTAAAAAGGTGAGTTATAAAGCAGGGTGATATATTGGCGAGTGAAATGTGGAGTCAATTGCGTTGCAGGGCACCAAATTTCAACTTAAGTTGAAAATGTTTTCATCTAAAGCAGCGCTGGGGAAGAGTGTTATTTGATGGCAAGCGTTGACTAAACTGTTTTCTTGGTTGCTTCCGTGCTGCACTTGTTCAAACAATCTAAAACAATCAGACCTTCAAAGTAAGCAGACTGTGGAATGCATATTGGGACATTTTTAAGGTTAAACAAAAAATTTTTGCAAAAATGTTTTTTGCTTGCTTGCCATCAGTTTTTTTTATTCTGACAATTTGAAAAATGCCGAGAAACTTTTTACTGGTGTGTTTTAATTTTTATTTCTTTTTTCTTTTTTCCACGCAAAATCAGGTACCACAAACAATCATCGGAATGGGTCGAGTAATATTCCAAATTGGAGCCCTTTTAATAGTGATTCGAATGACAATAAATAAATTTCTAAGACAAAATCACAGTATCGAGAAAAATTGGTTTAAAAGTTTTGGCTTTTAATTCAAGTTTGAGCGAATGAAGCGAGCGAGCAGGCTTATAACACCCTAATCATGCTTAAGTTAAGACCTGAAAATATAGTTTTAAGCAAATAAAGTTACTTTGGAGTCGTTAAGCGGCATTTTGGGAACCAAAAACTAAGCGCCATTTTGGGAACCAAAAACACATTTTTTGCAAATTTATTTGCTTGAATTACTATGACTGTCGAATATGCCTAAGCTATAGTCTTCGTCACATCATTTTATCACACCGCGCAGAAACACTAATTTAAAAAAAAAACTTTTTTGTAGTTTTTCAAAGACTGTGCTAGCATTCTGTGCTACCTGCAGACTAACCGGCTATCCTTCTTTTGAATAAGAGTATTTTAACCTAAGATTTAGAAATTAAAAGGAATTACCTTCTTCTCAGTCGAGGTCTGTTGTCCTCTTCGTAATGATCCGAGCCACGACCGCTTGTCCCATCCGAAACAGAGTCTCCTGCTGCTGCTGCTCTTTCTTCGTCTACCGCACCGTATTCAAACCCCCCCACTTCTGTCCTGGCCGATTGGAGTGCCCCCTTCCTGGCCTCTATCCAGCCCATGACATCATCTAGCGATGTATGACTCGAGCGTCTTCTACCTTCACCACCATCCAATGCATAACTCATTATTGACACTCCTACAGCGAACTCATCATATTGCTCCATTCCAATAAACAAACAACCGTACGGTTAACGGAGCAAAGCAACTAATAGCGTAATCAGACAAATGTTACAGATGAAACTGACAACATTAATTGCGATCAAGTCCAATCATTCAACCAGCTTCAAAAGTTTTCTCAGTAATACTCTGGTCGAGGTTTCGACTTTAAGTTTCGACCGAAGGGGTAGAACCAAATTGATTGTATGACCCAAAGTCCATAGTCGCGCAGGGTATGTGACCGAACTGAGAAGGAACATGAAGTCCACTTGGGTTGAAACAGAACGTCGAACTGGGTCGAAACATAAAGTCGAACTGCCCGGATTGATGTCGCGGTTTTATGTTCAGACTTTATAAGTCTGAATCGATCCGCGTTTGGAGTGACTACGAAGCAGAATCAAAGCCAAGAATTTTTAAGCAGACAACGGTTGAGGCGGAAAAAAAGAAAAGATATTGTAGGAAAAGCTTTAAGTCACCCCTGAAACTACAATGAACAACACTTGCAGCAAAAATTGCTTGTAGAAAAAAAATCCGTGACCTAACAACTAAGCTGACCAAACATGAGCAGACAAACCAAAAACAGGCAGTTCCTTTTTTGCCGAAAAAAAAACAAATTTCACACATTGAGAAAAAACTACCCGATGTCAAAGTTCGACCATTGCCGTGCGCAGTCGTGCGGGCCTGTAGTTGAAGTGAAAGTCAAAACACCAGGACGAACTGAAATTTGAGACATGAATATCAGGTGTTTCTCATGTGTTGTCAGCTAGACCAACTTATTTCCTGATGATTTACAAGTGAGCCACGAAAAGGCCTGTGCATGTTCCCAAAATAAAAACTAAATAAATTTTAGGGCTAACGACATAAAATCCTTACCAGTAAAACTGAAGGCTTGAAAAAATTCGAATTCAACAATAATGATTAAGCTTAAATTTAATTTAAAAAACTGAACCATATGACAATTACGTTTACTTCATACCTAAAAGCGAAAATTAAAAATAAAAATGTTTTCAGATTCAGGGGAGGATCTAGAATTTTCTCGAGGGGGGTGGTTTTTCAAAAAAATTTCTGAAACTTTGACGACCTTTTTTTAGGTCGACCAATTTGATTTTCCGAGCTCTCCTAAAGCAGTAGTATATGTTGGATGAATTCGAAGGGGGGGTGAAGACCCCCCATGTATTAACATAGTCTATAGAGTATCCGGTCTTCACCCTATGTATTAACATAGGCTATAGATTTCCCAATGTAACAAGATAGGGAATAGGTTTCCCAATGTATTAAAATACGAGGTTTCAGATGGTAAGTTTCAGATGGTAAGTTTTTTTCGGCGCACGAATTTCCCATGTATAGATTTCCTATGTATAAGAAATTCATTGTAGGGAATTAAGAACTCATTAGGGAATAGGATTCCTAATGTATTATGCTGGTAAGGTTTCACATGGTAAGATGGTAAAGTTTCAGATGGTAAGATGGTAAGTTTCAAAAAAAATTTGGCACCCGAGTTTTTTGGAGCTCGATTTTGCCAATTGTCCAGATTGTAAATGTTTTCTTTATCAAAAAACAACATACTGTTAATCCAAACGTAGCGTTTAAAAAGAGTTTTTTCAGAAAAAAAAAAGATTAATTACAGAGAAAATGTATTAATTCACAGCATCGTATACAATTTTACTACATAATCTCTTACAAACTTAGAGCTTTAGTAAGTATTCCATCACATTCAACTTCCCGTTTAGGGTAAAAATAGCTCAGTCCTTTCTTAGTTTGTTCATAAGTTGCGACTGCATGGTTAATTGTTTTAAATCCTCTATTCATTGACTTCAAATTCACTGCCTCATCCAGTACCTGTCGATACTTCGCCATCGGTCCATCTCCAGAGTCTTCTAATGCACGTTTGTTCAGACCTTTACTGCTAAACTTATACTTTTGACTTTTACTATCGTAAAAGCAATAGGTTTTACTATACAGGCATAACATTTCGGTGCATCTGAACTCCTCCTTGAACAATCCTAGTTCTCTATTGTCATGTTTCTTATGTTTAGAACAGCAAGTACGGGGAAAAAAGTTGTTTTTTGCATCTGCTCTGAAGTCGTCTCGATAGTCCTTGCGTCGCCTTTCAGACCATTCTGCTCGCTTGCTGGGAAGGATACAATCATCTAAATTTTATTCGTCCAAAGCCAAAAAGAGGGAATCTGTATCTATTTCGAGTTCTTCGAATTTGTTGACATCGCAAATTTTATCAAAAAAGTTATAAAACAGCTCCAACAATCTCAACTTGGCATACTGTAGTATAAAGAATCCTACTATAATTGGTTCACCATGCTTTATAGTAGATTTAACAAGTTCCACTTCATACAAATCTTTAGCTACGATATGAAGTCTCTTGAAGAATTGGTTATTGAAAGCTTTGTGGGTTTTTTCGTCTCCAAGATATTTTGTCATTGTTTGTTTTGATCTGTCCATTATTTGGTAGCCGTAGGAACTGTTTCCTGGAAACTTCATCGTTTCGGCTACTACGCTAGATAATGGATTTTCATCGCCGGTTCGCCTAGCATCAACAACATACTGAACAAAACTGTTGAATACTTTATGCGGTGTGTTTTGTACAAAACGATAAATTTTTGTACACTGTAGTCCTAGATCCAAGTAAAAGTTGAAAAGTGGTGTGATCAGTGTTCCGTTGGTCAATTTGAAGCTCGATATCAACATTCTTCGCGGTTTTTTTAACAAATCGTTTTCTCCCGCATATGTCTTCATATATTCACCAATATCGTTTCTGGAAACATCATTAATTTTGAATATAGGAGGGAAATAGGAAAACTTTGCTTAAAGCACGTCATATTACTCATATTGCATTGCACATAGCCAAACATTGTTTCCTTTCTAATGTTTTGCACTAGTGAATTGACAGAAAGAGGTCTTTTGAAGGGAAAGTGAGTTCTTACGTGATTTTTCACGTCTACATTGTTGTTAAATTGATCCCACCAGCTACACTCCCACGTTTCTTGTATAGAGTATCCTTTTTCTCGAATGTAATCTTTTCGAAGCTCATCCATTTCTCTTTTCTTGGTTCCGCGTTTGATATCATCATCAGTTAGGCTCGGTCTAGCTTCTTGACAAGGACAAAAATGGAAATAACAACCCATTGCTTCAAAGACAGTCTTACAATGGTCGCAATAACCATCAACACTAAAGCAATCAATTTTTTTCTGTTTTCCTGTAGTGTAGTAACTCTCAATTTTACATTCAGGTCTGGTTGATTGAAAGTATGACATGACCATATTTTCAAATGCTCGAACTCGATTTTGCCTTGCCTTGAATTTTTGTGTTTCTTCATCGTAGTCCCATCTCGTATAGAAACCTGTGGAAATATCCTGACACATAGAATGAGGATAGAGTTGAACAGCATCAATCCCAACAATTGATTTGCACAAATTTTGTTGATTTTCGAATAAAGGTTTCATTTGCTACTGCTTTCCTTGTGAAAACCTTTGGGGACCACGGGTCATATCTTCCCGTATTTTTTCAAGCAAGTCACTATCACTCGAAAGGAATGGGTAAAACTTATAGTCGGTTGATTTGTGTAGACAGATATTGGCTAGATTCGGTAGTGTGCAGCCGAGCTTTAACATGTCTATCCCTTTGTCATGATAAAATTCAACCATTTTCTGCATAGCATCAAGGGTAGGATCAATATCCTTGTTGTTATACCACCGCAGAAAATTGCGAAATGTTGTCGTCTTTTCCTGTTCCCAGATAGATTTAAGGTAGTTGTAGTTTTCCAATCCCGTAGGTGGTTGGGTTTTGAGATCGAGTTTTTTCAAGCCTTGCTCTTCAGTTATCCCACAGTTATCTTCTGTTAGAAAGTTTTTGATAATCATCAAACTCTTTATCGAGAGGGTTACTATTCTTCAGTTTGCTGTAGAAGTCATCATACGGGGGTAGTTGTTGTTCATCAAGCTTGTTGGGAGTGTCAAACCACTCGTATGGAAAGTATCCTTTCATCTCACTGTCTTTGTAAGCTTCCAGAAAAGATTCGAAAGTAGTAGCTACAACCAAAAACTTCATAATGTCTAGAAGCTGAACATATCCAATTTTGAAGGAAACAAAGTCGTTTGCTTTCTTGATAACTGAAGGTTCAATTTCTTTTCTTCCTCTTCCTCAATACATTCGTCTTCGTACTCTCTTGTTTCACTCTTATTGAAACTAACTCGTTCATTAAGTATGCTGAAAATTGTGTGTAGTCGTTTTTTGATGTTATTTTCAATTTCCAGAAATTTTGATCGCATTTCGGTTTTATTTTTTTCGGCTACGACTCCAAGTTTGCCACAAAGTCAATAATGAGGGATTGTGGAAGTTTTTCACATAAAATTATGGGTTTGTCAAGCAAATTGGATGAAATTGCACTGATATGGGTTCATACTTCCCGATCCAAGTCTTAGTTTCGTTTGGTTTTAGTTCTTCGGATGGCACGCAAATTGATTCAAAGTCAAAAATAGCGACATTTTTGAATAAGTTTTGTTCTTTTGCGTACTCAAAATTGAACCCATCCAATTTTGCAAACAACGTCTTTCGTAGAGTATAAACATTTTTGGGGTAAAGGTTTTTGATTCGATCTGTGCATCGTAGGAGATGCTTGTTGAAAATTTGAGATTTGTTGAAAATTGTATCGCAAGTTGGGCATCGGAAGCATTTGAAGAAGTTGTCGATGTTATTGACGTAAATAATGTGAATTTTGTTTTGTAGAAAATTCACTGTGTTCTCGTATTCACCCATACTTCTCCGATCTAATTCTCCTACAAAATCTGCATCTTCAATATCGATATCTTAGATAAAGATGCTTTTCCCTACTACATATTCAACTTTTGGTAGATTATCCATCGAAACTCCACGAAATTGTTTCGGATCACAACCCGATTTTTCCAAAAAATCATTAAAGATCTTGGAAGTGGATTTTTCAACACTAGTTGTTCCACGTAAATGAACTGCAAGCGCTCGAAACAAACACAAATTGTCATTGTATGGTTGTTTTGTGTC